CCCAGAGAGCCCACAGCCTGGGTCTCTCGAACCCCTGTCCCTCTCCCAGCCCAGCACAGAACAGCAGAGACAGAGCTACTTACCTTTCTGTGTGTGTCTGGTGTCCCTCTCAGGTGAGGGCAGGTTCTGTATCTGCAAGCGACGTCTCTCTAACCTCCTTATATACAGAGTAAACCCCCTCTCCCTGTGTATTTAACCCCCTCCACTGCTGTGCGCTGCTAACTCTACCTGTCAGATACTAACCACCCACTCCTGAGCTCCAGCCGCCTGTCCCTGATTGTCCAGAGACAGTGCTTCCGCAGGGGTTGGGATACAGTGTTCTCCGTGTGCGAGAGAGGAGTTGCTCCTTTGATATGTACAGTATGGGCTTGTGCTTCGTAGCTGATCTCTAAAGCGGATAAAGTGATTATTTTTTAGGGTTTGTGTTCGCTACATTGTTTAAATATTTGACACAGTAGATACATGATAAATAGTCTTGCTCTTTAAAGGAAGGATATGCTTAGGAAGTGTTGCTCTCATGACCCGGGTTACTCCGAAGCCTGTCTGCCCCTGTGGCGATGCTGGAGTGGCAGCAGGCTTGAGAAGACCTGTCTGAGGGCTCCTGCCCGTCTTCGTGAGCTGGACTTGGCTCGTTTCTCTGGCCTTCAGGGGATGTTTGACTCTCCCCTTTCCCCTCCTGCTCGCTGGGCTTCTGGCAGCTGGTTCAGACTCTGTTTCGCGAAGGCGTTTAGGGGCTTTGTGAGACACTCAGACGAGCTGTGATCCTGTGGCCAGGGGTGTGCTCAGCGCTTGGTGGACTGATGTGAAATGGGTCCCTTTATTCTGAGCCGAGTCAATGCCTTGTTGTTGTGGGTCTGCCCCTCCAGACTGCAGTGGATCCTCTGGTCCGGTCTGGTCTCACAGCTGGTGGGTTGTGGGTTGAAGTCCCAGGCACTGTTGAAGCTACTTCAACCAAGCTGCTCCAGTACGACACCCAGCTGTGCTGATGGGTTCAAGTGGACGTGTCATCTACTGCAGACGGGCCTGTGATTGGCACTGAAGAGCCTTCTGCTGCTCCAGGAGGTGGTGTCCCAATCTAACGGAGGGTTGCTTTCATTACAGTGGAGCATAAAAGATTGTGCTCTACTTTATTACAGAATTCGACTCTTCTACTGTTGTACTATTATCTACTATATTCTACTACCATAGAATTCGTTTTTCTGTTTCAGAAACCGCTGGGTGTATTACAAAATGGCTACTGTCTTCCGTAAAGGCTGTGCTGTTTTTCCAGGTCAGAGCGAATATTGCTTCTCTCCCCAGACACACAGCTCCACACCCACCCTCAGAGTCTCCGGGCCTCTGTATTAGTGTTGTCGCTGTGGAGCAGGGCTGCTGCTTCCCGTCAGCGCATCTCTGTTTTCATCGCGTGACGATCTCCGTCCTCTCCCTGCTCCCTGCTCCCTGCTCCCTGCTCCCTGCTCCCAGTCTCCTGAACGGCGGGAAGGCATGGTGACCTTTCTCCAGCCCTTCCTCTCCTCCCAGCTGGAACACCTCTTTCTGAGCCACCGGGAACCAGTTTGCCCACTTCCCTCCCCTGTCCCCCTGATCCATGGCCCCTCAGTCTTCCTGAGGGAAGGTACTCTCTCCCCTCGGCCACACCGCCAACGCCACCCTCTTAAATTCTTCCACATTTTAGGTCAACGAGAAGTTTTTGAAGTAACTTAACATCCGTGAACCGTTGAGGAAAAGGGTCCGATGAGGGAGTCCATCGTCCGCTCAGTCCAGAGGCTAGACTCCGGCTCCACGGAGCCGAACAGTTGTCCGGCCAGCCCCTTCCTGGCCGCGCCGTGCCGCTGGGGTCGAGGAGATCTTGAGCCTCCTCCTGGGGAGAGGAGGGGGAGCGTTTCGTCGTCCGTGCTGCCTGGAGGGCGTCAGGCCTCACAGAGCGGGAAAGGCGGGGAGTTCAAGGAAAAATCACACGATCTGTGAGCACGAGCCACGTGTCCAAAAAAGCTTGAATTTGCAACTTTGCGAACGACAAGACCGCTGTTGCACTTTTTATGCAAAGCACGTTCGTCAACGTGAAAAAGAACCAGGGTGTTTTTAAGGGGCGCTACGTACAAGGTTGTCGCGGGTAGTGAATAACACATCCGAGAAGCAACACTGGAAAGTCCACCGTCTCACACCTCCGGACCGCGGCAATATTGGAAACATATTTTTTATTTTCACATAACATAAGTGAACATATATCTGAATTATTTTATTAACTGTCATTGTCCGTGTGTTTGTATTTACAGGGGTCTGAACATGAAGCGATGAGCTCACGTTTAAAAGGACTCTTTTATCTCTGTGTTCCCGGCCAGTCCTCGGTGTAGAATACAGCGTGAGGGCACACCTGCCCTCTGAAGACACAGGTGTGGGCGCCTGCGGTAGATCCTCAGGTGAAGTCGATACACACTGCCGCGATATACATGGGGTCCCTATCTTGACATGCTGTGGAGGTCCTGTCGCGATGGTATCCCACAGTTACGCGTTTGGCAACAGTGTGTCACGGCGGGGAAAGAAAAGGAAAACGTGCCTTTGAAAATAAAAACCACAGATCTTACAATCACGGTGATTTTACACACATTACAGCCACAGGTTTGTGTCATAGATGGTTAACTTGTTGCCATGCGTCATGTCTTAGTATTATTCACATCTGAGGAGGCTCACATGTTTATGGATATTGATTGTCTTTAAAATGTTAAGGGTACGAGCTCAACTGTCTATTTGCTGCCTGTGTGTTGTAAAGATCACCTTAACTAGAGACCGACGTTTTACAGCATATCCAGTAAACTGTGTGTATTGCTATAAAATCGAAAGCAAAAAGTTTTCTTACAATGCTTATTAAGTTCTACCGTCACAAAACACAGTATATTAAAGAAGTAAAGAGTTTAGTATAAAATTGCATCATCCAGTGTGTTACACTGTTCAAGGAAACGTACTGGATTGAAGCTCTGTGTTGTTCCACTATTGTTCTGTATTGGTCAACTGATCAAAAGATCACAGTTGAACGATCTGGTGGTCGTGATCTTTTTTGCACGTCGCTGCCAGAAAACGAAGGCGCTGTATTGAAATATATTGAAACGTCCACCCCACCCGACCAGACAGACGGCCCACTTTGTTTTCACCGCGATCAGGAGTTCACGTGTCGAGTGTGTTGGCACCTGTAACCTTCGTTGTAGACAGTCACGTGGTTACTCGAGAAAGCAGGCGCTATATCTCGGAAAGGAAAGCAGCACAAACGCCGCTTCAGCGTCACAGACCAAGGAGGCGGTTTTTCACCGTCTGCGCTGTTCGTACGGGGGCAGCTTCACGGAGCTCCGTGTGACCGGCATTCGGGGTGCTCCCACAGAGCCGAGTGCGTCCCACTGTCCCGAGTGGGAGCGCGGATCCCCCCTCTCTCCCGTCTCTCCCGCAGGCGGAATGGCAGCCGGCGGGCGGGGCCGCGGGAGAGGGGGGTCGGGTCGCTCCTGTGTGCGCCGGGCCGGCAGCCGGAGCCCCGTTATCTCATTGATATTCCGCCCGGGTGGGGGAGCGGCGAGGGACATCCTCTGGGCAGCCAGAGCTTCATGGTTTGTGCTGTTTGTAGGGGGGGCGCCTGGGAGATGTCCTGCTCCCCTGCAGACCAGCACACATCCTCGCATTTTAACTGTGTCCGCGGCACCGGAGCTCTGGGCTCCCTGTCACCCGTGCTCCTTCCTGCCAGACGGCAGCCCGGAATAGCCGGGTGTGTCTCTCGCTCCGGAAGACGCCCAGCCGCTCCCTCTCGGCGGCAGCTGTGGTTCCCAGCCGACACTTCCACTTCCGCTCAGCAGGGCTTCCCACCTCGCCCTGGGACTGTGGGCCTGCACCCCCTCTCCACCTCCCCCCCCCGAGTCTGCACCCCCTCTCCACACACACCCCCTGAGTCTGTACCCCCTCTTCACACACACCCCCTGAGTCTGTACCCCCTCTGGGTCTGCACCCCCTCTCCAGGGTAGCAGGTGTGTAATGGGTGTGTAGCAGGTGTGTAATGGGTGTGTAGCGGGTGTGTAGCGAGTGGTTGTTTACATATCCGCAGTGTTGCGGAGTCCCGACCTCGAGGCCCCGGTTTCTCCGCAGGGACGGGCGCGGACTCGCCTCGCGTGCAGGCGGAGAACCGGAACTCGCGCAGGCGGTGATGAGCGCCGCTCGCGCAGGGAAGCCGTGAGTACGTGGGCTCGTGCTCATTTTATTTATTTATTTATTTATTTTTTAATCAAGCGTTGTTCTGTTGTACAGTTTCCGACGAAAAACAGTGTAAAAACAAAAGATGAAAAACAAACAGAATGATTGGAGGATGGCAAGGTTTGTTTGTCTGTGTTTTCCGGCCCTCGGTCGTGTTGCTTCTGGGCTTGCAAGCACTTCGCTCGGATCCGCGCGGCTCGTCTCGTCAATAAATAACAAACAGTAACCCTAACTCTGCTGCAGGCGAGGGGTGAACACCAGCTGGCGAGATCGCAACTGTCTGAAACGTTTATTTATGGAGTCGCATCAGATGAGGAAGATCAAGGAGACGAAACGTGCGAGACACGCGACCCACGTCTCTGAGTCTGTGTGGCTTCATACACCTTAACACGTCAGGAGCGCTCAGTTCGCCCCAGCAGGATAGATGTTGTTATTTTAATGACTGGTATCCAAAGATGGCAGGAACACTATTGAGATCAATTTCACTGGGCCCTGGGCAACGCTCAGCGGTTGATGGTAATGTTGTTTTGGACTAACGAATGTGCACAACACTCGTTAAACGATAAAGAGAGACCCTAACCCTCTTCAAATCCAAACTCCAAACTCCTGTTTTTATTACGCCCCTTGTCTAATCGCCCCACATCCTGCCTGAATCCAGAGTTGGGGTTCAGTGCCTCCTCGCTGAGGTCGTTTATTTCTTTATCGCTACATACAACATCCTTGGGTTTGGAAGGGCACTTTATAAATAAGTAAATAATATTTATTATTTATATTATTATTATTATTAAAGGTTATACTGTCTTCCCAAAAGACGAAACGTGAAGCAGATACAGCCGTGTTCTGGCCTGACTCGGCCTGCGTTTTACTGCTCGGGCGCCCCACTGGATTTCGAGCACTTGGAGTTTTTTGACTGGTCTTGAGGGGACCCATAGAGCTGCCCTTCTCCATTGGCCAGGACGAATGAGTGCGTGCTCTGTAAGATCAGGAGATCCCGCTGCAGGTCGGCGTGCAGCATTCCTGGCGCTTGGCTCCGCTGGCGATGGACAGAGGCGACTCCGAGGTCTTGTGGCTGAGGGAGCCGAGTCTGAGGGTTTGCTCCGCGCGAGAGCGTCGCTCCCGATGTTAACTTGGCCGAACTCCTGCGCAGCTCTGTTGCTGGATATGAGCGGCCCAGGCGGTGGCCGTCCGCGTCACGAATCGCCTGCTCTTCCCCGCGCGCTGTTTCTTTTTCTTGTCTTTGCCTCTTATCGGCACAGTGTCAGGCTGGAGTCGAGGAAGAAAATGAAAAACTTCAATCCAAACCCGAACCCGGGGTAGAGGGGCTCCGTGAAGGAGGCCTGGACTCTGTGCAGGAGGGTCGCTGTGTCCCCAGAGACGCTGTAAAAGGACAGAGTTCCAGCCCTGTGGTCCACGTACACCCCTATCCTGGAGGAGGGAGGGGCAGCTATTTCTGTTTCCTGGTTATTGTGCCAGATGGAGTAACTGGTGCCGGACCAGTAGAGGCTCCAGGACTTGCGATTGCGGCCCAGGCGACAGTCAACCCCCTTTCCCTTCCTGTTGATCCCTTTATATGCGACGCCTATGTCCGACCTCACTCCGCTCCACTCCACCTCCCAGTAAGCACGGGTCCCAGACAGCCCCTCTCTGCACAGGACCTGCCTCCAGTTGTCAAATCTCTCGGGGTGATCGGGGTACTGCAGGGGCTCTTTCGTCGTTGACACCCTCCTGTTCCCCTCAGACAGACAGAGGTGCCTGTTGGCAGTGTTGGGGTCCAGTGCGAGCTGACAGGCATCTGATTGGAGAGAAGAGCACAGTCAGAGGACAGACAAGCAGAACAGACCAATCCCTGAGCAGATCTCCACTAGAGTCCCGCCCCCACAGCCCAGTAAGATACACACTGGGGTTTCTGATTGGAGAGAAGAGCACAGTCAGAGGACAGGCAGGCAGGAATCTGATTGGAGAGAAAGGAGTCAGTTGGAAAAGACCCATTCATCTGTTAGCAGGATCTCATTGCAATCAATGAAATTAATTCCTACAAATGCAGAGGAGCTCCTCAGTGTTCCTCACTAGTCGTCGTGTGTTTATTGACACATCTCTTACATCTTCCAGACAGTGTGAGGAAGCAATGAAAAAGCCAGACAACATGTTACATTATAGTCAAATTTGATCGAATAGAATTCAAATCGAGGGACGTATCTTAAAATTGTACAGTGCACCAGTGAGGGCTCCTTTAGAATACCGTGCATGAGTCTGGTCTCCACATTAGAGAGGAGATGCTGTGGATTCAGTCCGAAGAAGAGAAACCAGATACATCAGCTAGACAGCGAGCTGGAGGGAATTTCCTACAGAGATGCACTGAAGGAGCTGAATGTTTTTAGTCTTGGCTGTTAGGGGACCAGATACATGTATTCAAAACCCTCAAAGGCTCTGACAGTCAACCCAGAGGAAGTCTTCAGAATCAGCAGTGAGACGCACACCAGAGGACTCAAGTGGAAACTCCAGGGAGGAGCATTTAAGACTGAGAACAGGAGGCCCTTTGCACAAAGGGTTGTGGGGGTCTGGAACAAGCTGCTGCCATAGTGGAACATGCCTCTGTCCGGGGAGCTATGTGCAGGTAATAAACACAGCCTAACTCAAACAGAGTTTGTGAAACTATTTTTAGAGATCAGTGTCATCAGATGTTGGTAGGATCATTGAGAACAGACTCACAGTGTAAAAGCTCTGTTCTGGTCCTAGGCTCTGAAGTCTTCAGACTGCAAACTAAAGTTTCCTTCACTGTGGAGACAGAGACACACAGATGGAGAATTAAACCATGTGGATGAATCAAGGACACAACAGGACTCTCTCGCTCCTACTGAGACTGAGCACCTGGGAACACAGTCAGGTCAGCTGATCTCTAGAAAGACGCCAGTGTGTTTCTCCTCTAACCTGTCCTGGAGATCTTGACTGACTCCTCCCTGCAGACATCCTCCAGTTGCTCTTTCAGTCCAGAGACAGCTCTCCTCACAGCCTCAGGAGAGAAGTGGGGTCTGACAGGGATGCTGGGTGAGTCTCCAGCTCCAGGAAGGACACAGACAGACTGGAAATTCTGCAGCAGGGAGGAGAGAGAGGAGTTTCCAGTCAAACACACTGGGCTCCAGCACACATTCCTGGGGAGAAGCCAGGAGCAGCTCCATTGGAGAGCTCTGTGTGAGAGACTCCCTTCTGGACTGCAGAGAGTCCCAGAGCAGTGCTGTTACCTGGAGGAAATGGATGTGATCCTCTGTGTGTGAGAGCTGGCTCAGCTCAGCGTCTCTCCTCCTCAGCTCAGCGATCTCCTGCTCCAGTCGCTCCAGGAGTCCTTCAGCCTGACTCACTGCAGCCCTCTCTTGAGCTCTGATCAGCTGTGTGAGCTCAGAGCGTGTTCTCTCAATGGAGCGGATCAGCTCAGTGAAGATCCTGTCAGTGTCCTGTACTGCAGTGTGTGCAGAGCTCTGAGTGAGGAGACACACAGTGGATTATCACACAGGACAACACTCAAACTACATTCTACTGTGTGTGGTGGTTCCTCAGGGTACTGGTGTGTCCAGTGTCCAGCTGTGGGAATGTGTGTCAGTGTGTCCACTCCTCTGGTCAATACCCACTCTGAGTGAGTCCACAGCCTGTCTCAGCTCCTGCAGCTCCTTCTCTCTCTCCTGGAGTCTCTGCTGGGTTTGTGTCTGTGTCGCCCCCAGCTGCTTCTGTGGAGAAATACAGAGATTTCCCAAAGGAAGTAAAGCATTTTTCATCCATCTTTCAAACTTCTGTATCTTCCATTTCATCCTTAGAGGGTAAAGTGGAGCGTAACCTGTCTGTAACGCAAGTTAATATTAGAAAAGCCATTTAACCTGGGCTGCATTCCTTTGGGTTGTTGGAGAAAACCGGGTTTAAATGTACTGTAAAATACCAGCTCCACACAGGGGTCACCCCTGTCCAGGGATCGAACCCAGGGCTCGAGAATTGTGGGGCAGAAGTGCACAATCACACGTTTGGTCTACATGATTCAAACTTTTTCTTATTTTGTTTAATAATGTAAATGGTTATAAAAAAAACTGAATGATCTTTAATGCTTTTCATTAAGTAAGTTATTAAAATGGATCACAAGTTTATAATTTCTTTAGAGCACAGTGCAATTTATTTACAGGTTATGTTTGTCAAGGAAATATACCTTCAGTTATTGAATCATAATTACATTTTTGAATTTTTTTTAATGTAGGTTGATGAATTGCTTTAGGATCTTTGGAGAGTTCAACCAGCCCCAGCTGTCAGTAATCTGCAATCACTCCAGACTTCATTTCCTCACATGAAACACTGTACTTCCTGTACGTGATCCCTCCTCTCCCTCACACACGTCTCCTGCCCCTCTGCTCCTCTGCAGCTGCCCCTGGGTCTCCCCTCCCTCCACAGGGGGTCCCAGCCTGCTCCCCTCTGGCCAGGAGGTCAGCTCTCAGCCAGGCTGCTGCAGACAGACTTACTCCGACTGAAACACTCGATAATCCTGTCGATATGCTGAATTGTTGGGTGTCATTATTCCTAGTAAACTTTTTATTATTGAGACGCAACCAGAAACACTTGTCATCTTTGTGAATTCACAGGTAGTGGAAAAATCAAATGTTGAATTAATATGTAACAGCTGTTGTAAGAATGTAATTATTATCCCTGTGTTTGGACTAGAGAGTTCCTTGTAAAGTGTTAAAGTTCTCACCTGTTTCTTCATCCTTTCTGCTTCAGCTGAAACAGTATTGTGGCCTCTGTGTTCATCCATTAGACAAGCGTAAAAAGCACCTTTCTGATCAGTTCGGGAAGAAACCTCCAAGAATCTGTCATGACTGGAGCAGGTCTTCTCCTGCAGCTCTCCTGTGGCCTCGACCAGCTGGTGTCTCTTCAGTGGAGCAGCTTCACAGTGAGGCTGGAGGTGAGTCTGACAGTAAGAGGCCAGACACACCAGACAGGACTTCACAGCTCTCACCTGTCTCCCAGTGCAGAAATCACACAGCACATCTCCAGGGCCAGAAGGACTGGGAGCAGGAGGAGGAAGAGGAGTACTGGTGCCTCTCCTCCTCAGTTTCTCCACCACTTCAGCCAGCATGGTGTTTCTGCGTAGAGCAGGCCTTGGGGTGAAGGTCTCTCGGCACTGGGGGCAGCTGTAGACTCCAGTCCGATTGTTCTGATCCCAGTAGTTTTTGATACAGCCCATACAGTAACTGTGTCCACAGGGAAGAGTCGCTGGATCCTTCAGGATGTCCAGACAGATCGGGCAGTCAAGTTCATCCTCTGTCCACTGACCAGCGGCCATTTTTAAATTTGTGGAGTGGTGAAGAGAAGGCGAAGAAATGAGTTGAGCAGAAACCAGGTATGACTGTGTGACTTCCTGGAGCCGCCCAGAGACGCAGGAGGGGTGGTTCAATCTGAGCGCAAAGTAGAGGAGAGCAGTTTCAGAAGAGCAAGTCCAGACAGATCTGGATAGGTGGGGTTTGAGATGAAGGCTGCGGGAATGTGTGACGAGCTTACCGAGCCTGGTTGTGGAAGATGACAACATTGCCTCTTTCTAGAAGCAGCTGGCTCACATCCTAGTCAGCAGCTAGCGGCGAAACAAATGGTTCCCTCTCTTTCTCATCTTATTTTATGATGATGCTTTCTGACGTTTTGTCCTTTGAAAGGGAAGTTTCAAACCAGGTGTAATATTACATCTGTCCTACTGTAGTGTGGGAGTATTCTGAGAAAATACACAGTTTGAAGGTAAAAACAGGAAGAAAGAGCTGTCCTTGATGTCAGTCTCAAGAAGAGGTCATGCCAGCTGTGAGCAGCCCCAGGTCTGTACAGTATTCACCTCAGGGAAGACGGCTGGTGCCGGGTAACCTGATGCTCGGGACAGGCTCGTGAACCTTGGGGTGTGGAGTATAGTGGCCAGAGCACTGACCCGGTGACCCCAGGACTCGAGGGTGTGCACCGGTCCCCAGGGGAACAACGAGGTGACCCCGGGACTCGAGGGTGTGCACCGGTCCCCAGGGGAACAATGTGGTGACCCCAGGACTCGAGGGTGTGCACCGGTCCCCAGAGGAACAACGAGGTGACCCCAGGACTCGAGGGTGTTCACTGGTCCCCAGAGGAACAATGAGGTGACCCCAGGACTCGAGGGTGTTCACTGGTCCCCAGAGGAACAATGAGGTGACCCCAGGACTCGAGGGTGTCAGTGCAAGCAAGGAGGAAGTCCAGTGAGTACAGAACACAAAGGTGCTGGGTGGGACTGTGTGCTAATTTAATAGTTCTGCTTTGAAGTATCTCACAGCTGCTGTCCTGTCCGATCATGACCTCAGAGCTGCAGGGCCCCCAGCAGCTTAAACTATTTTTAAAAGATTGCCTTTGCAATTGAGTCCAGACTGTCAGGTTTTCTTTCGTACACACTTTGTGGATGAATGATTACCTGCTGTTTCCAAAACAAAATGCAGTCTTCAATTCAATATGCATTAAAAAATGGAATTTTATAATGATGCTTGTAACCATTTTTAATCCTCTGTCAAATCTGTTTACAATTACAAATCATGTTGATTTAAAGCAGTTAAGCATGAAACACAAAATTGCACCACACTGTTAATTGCTCTGTTTGTGTTTTTCCACACTCATTGCTAATCTGACAAACCAGCTGCAGAGCTCAGCGGTGCTCAAGACTTGCATTGAGGCACAGGGACAACACGAGCCACTGACTCTCTTCCCAGAGTGGAGTGGGAAGTCAATGTTGGTGTGATATCAAAGTCACATGAAATTTTCTAGACGGTAGCCTTTGCACTTCATGACTCCAGTTGGTGGAAATGTATGGGTTACCAGTTTAACAGCTTTTTTATGGCTTTTGGTGCAACAGCGCCCCCCTGTGGCTCATTTAAGTTCACTAACATTTATTTTCTATAGTGCCTTTCCTGGTACATCTTCACAAGGCGGTTTACGGTAAAACAGCCAAGCATCAGAGCTGTTAATTCACAAATTAATACAGTACATGGTGTTTGAGACCAAAGGGAAAGATGCTGACTGATTTGCAAGAACTGATGAAGGTTGAAGTATCGTTCCACAGTCTTGGAGCAACAGAACAGGAAACGCTGGGAGAGACGGAGAGCTTTGCGTCTTGTAGTGGGAGATGAGTAAAGGTCGGTCCAGACAGTACTAACAGCTTGTGATGTGCAGAGGGTTAACTGAGTGCACTTGTGCAGTCAGGAGCCAAAGGTCATCACTCAAAGATGATCTGCAGCGCGAGTAATGTGTTGAGATCCACAGGGAGCTGGTTCAAGTCGGTAAAGAGAGGTGATGCACACTCATACATGGTCAGTTTAGTTAAAAAGTGAGCAGTAGAACTCACTTATAATGTTATGATAATGATAACAATACAGAGTTGTGGTATTGAAATGTCTTTACCGTATTTATTAATATCCCTCATTGCATGGGTTATAAAACAAAAAAAAAATCCAAAATTAGGCAGTGAAGGGAATTCGAGTACATTTCTGAAAATGAGGTAGTGGTGTAACTCTGTTTCCTTTCCCAGTCTTGCGGGCAGAGTTTGTAACTTATATTGGGATGTGCTTTGGTTACGAAACCCAGTGCGTCTCCCTTTTAGCATCAGTTTTAAGGATTATTTAGTTTAGTTCTAGCTGCCCTTACAGTGATTCACCACCCCTACGAGTAGGAGGGGGGTGAGAGATGAGGAAGCATGCTGACCAGCAAGGTGCTGGAGGGTGAGAACTCTCTGCAGCTGTAAAGATTAGCCTATAATTATTTTGTTCTGACTTGTAAATGAACGCCCATTATTGCACCAGACAGTTAAAGAAGCCCTGTAACTGCTCAGTAGTTACTGCCCTGTGGGGTGTGTAACTACTAAACTTTTGCACGGTTCTTACACTGACACTGCTGGCAAGGCCATTGTATTCATTAATTAAAAAAAAAAAAAAACTAGTATTTAGACTCATTTTTCTATTTTGTTTAGAAGCCTTTCCAGTTTCTGCAACATTACAATAAGCCAACTAGAGGAATGCCTGCAGTCCTGGGACAAATCGCAGGCTCCAGAGCGGACAGTGGACAGGCACTGGGCACGAACACTGACCAGGGCAGACACGAGTCCGAGTCTCCCACTGCTGATCATGAAATACAGTGGAACAGTGTCTAATCGGGTCCTGAATGACTGAGCACAGATTTAGTTACCTGTCGTTTCCTCCCATCGCCTCTCTCTTTCAGTCCTATTGGCACAGAGTCACACTGGAGTCAGAAGAGGAGTAATGGTCAAACACAAACCCCAACCCGGGGTAGAGGGGCTCCGTGAAGGAGGCCTGGACTCTGTGCAGGAGGGTCGCTGTGTCCCCAGAGACGCTGTACAAGGACAGAGTTCCAGCCCTGTGGTCCACATACACCCCTATCCTGGAGGAGGGAAGGACAGGTACTACAGTTTCTTCATTATTGTGCCAGAAAGACCAACTGGAACCAGAGCAGAACAAACTCCAGGCCGTGTTATTGTGTCCAGGGCCACAGTAAAAACTCCATCCTGCCGAGTCCTTCATACTGTATGCGATTCATATATAAGCCCCCCCCAACCACTCCACTCCACCTCCCAGTAACAGCAAAACCCAGAGAGCCCCTCTCTGCACAGCAGACACTGCAGGGAGCCTCAGTGCAGCTGCAGTTTATAACACCGCAAAGAAAAAACAGATGCAACTTGGTTTGTCAGAGGAGGTAGTTGATACTTTATTTAGCCCACAAGATGAAACATCTCTGTAGTTTCAGTTCTGCGCAGTAGAGCACAGGATTACTGCTCCACTCAGAGACTGGAGTGAAGACCAGTCCTGCTGCCCAGTAGTGACCTTGAAATGAGTCCCGATACTGAACACCAGCAGAAAGATCCCTCTCACCGTGGATCACCACCACCTCCCTCTGTCTGTGTCCCGTCTCTCTCCACCCTCTGTCCCCTCCCTCAGTCCCGTCGCTGTCCCTCTGTCTGTGTCCCCTCCCTCCTCGGTCCCGTCCCTGTCCCGTCCCTGTCTAGCTGAAATCCATGCTCTCCAGTGAGTACAGGTGGCTCAGCAGGCTGGGATTGTCTGACACCTGCAGATCCACAGACTCACTTTGCAGAGAGGAGGCTCCTCCTTGGACAGCCAGCATCTTCAGCATCTGGAGAGAGGTGAGGACTACCTGCAGGCAGAGAGGGGTTCACACACACTGACTGGACACTACTGTACACTAACACTGCACTGAGAGAGAGAGGGGTTCATACACACACACTGACTGGACACTACTGTACACTAACACTGCACTGAGAGAGAGGGGTTAATACACACACACTGACTGGACACTCCAGTACATGAACACTGCACTGAGAGAGAGAGGGGTTAATACACACACACTGACTGGACACTCCAGTACATTAACACTGCACTGAGAGGGAGGGGGGTTCATACAGACTCCAGGCTCTCTCTCACCTACAGTCACTCCAGTCCATTAACATTCTACATTAATGAATCATGGAACATTAAAAATGTAACCCACAGATACACTCTCAAACACACAGCAGTTCAGAGAGAAACACCCACAGCTGGACAGACCGACTCACCTCCGCTGGTCCGTCACCCCAGAGTCTCTGTGACCCAGCAGGTGGAGCTCCTCCCCTCTCCCTGGGACCCCTCTGGTTGTTGAGAGGGGGGTACAGAGACACAAGAGGGGTGCCCAGAGGAGCAGGGTCACACACAGCCCCCAGAACTGAGAACATGATGCCATCTGAAACACATCAGCACTCTATGTCAGGAACCAAGACTGCAGTCTTGGGGTCTTCAGTAAGGGGTTAAAGGTCACTGTGAATCTGGGGTCAGAAGGCTAGTAACTGGCTCAGTTTAGTCTCATTTCACCCCCC